AATACTAGCTTGTTTCCCAAAAGTGGCTGCTCAGCATGGAGGAAAGCAGCCCCCCAGCTCACTGCTGCTGGCTGCCAGCCCAGAGCCTGCACTGTGCTAGGCTGTGGTGCAACTGCTTCACCGCTGCCTCCATGTTGCCCAGTGCAGCAGTAGTGGCTATGTGGAACAGTTGCTGGGGCAGCACAGAGGCAGCGGTGAAGCAGCTGTACCACAGCCTAGCACAGCGTGGGCTCTGGATGGGCAGCTGCACCAAACACTACCCAGCAGCAGTGAGTGGGGGGGGGAAAGGTGCTTTCCTCCACAGAGCAGCAGCCTCTGCCAAGCTGCTGCTGCCACAGCTCAACCCCGACAGGCGAGCCCAGAGCTGGCACAGGGCCCAGGCTAGAAGCGGTGCTCAGGAATGAGCTGGTGCTCAGCATAGGGGAAAAGCAGCTACCCCTTCCCCACCCCACGGGCAGTGCTGCAACCGCTTGAAGCCCGTACGGGGCTGCCTGTTCTTGCTCTCCAGCAGAGACCGCCAGCAATTGGGGGGGGTGAGGGGCAGTGTTGCTTTTCTCCTGCACTAAGCACCAGCTCATTTCCCACCAGTGAGTGCAAGGCATGCAGGGTTGGGGCTGCATGCAGCTCCCCCCACCCTGTACCACAAAGCTGGGGCAGGCGCACTGGGAGTTAGCAGGCACACCAGAGTCAGCGGCAGCCAGGTGAGAGCATGAGGCCTGTGCTGGTGTCCCAGGGCCAGTGCCAGTGGGGCCCAAACCAAGGTGGCAGGAGCGTAGGGTCCCAGCCAGCAGGGGCTCTATGGAGCTGGATCAGCTCCCCACTCTCCCTGCTGGTGTATCCCATCCCAGCCCAGCTCAGCTCCACAGACCCCTGCCAGCCTGCACCCCATGCTCCTGCTGCCCCACTCTGGGCCCTGTGGGCCCTGGCCCCGAGATATGGGTGCAGGGCCCAAACTCCTGCTCATTTCCACTTCCCCCCGCCACTTTCCCCACTTTCCTGCCCTGCCACTCTGCACTACATGGCTCCCATGCCCCCACACACATCCACACAAACCCCTATATGCAATCACTTGTGCATATACACCAAATGCCTACAAATCAGGACAAAAATAATTTTTTAATTCAATTAAAATATATGATTTTTACTATGGAATTTGTATGGTTTCTTTTTCTTAAGATGGCAAACCTCTTCCCCAAACGAGTACTTCCAGGGGCAAGGGGAGGGATTTTCAGTGGCATAGGTCAGAGGCTAGGGGCAGGACTTCTGGTCCCACGATGGTGACTAGGAGGCAGGGCACCTGCCAAGGGGCAGGGCTACCCATGCGGCCCTTGACAGCTTGCAAAAACTCAGTAAGTAGCCCTCTGCCCAAAATAATTGCCCACCCTTGGCCTAACCACTAGACTACAGAAGTTAAGCTTCCCTTTTGCTTTATCTCTTTCACGCTCATGACCTACATTTGTCTGCCCATTGGCCAAAGCTTTCCATGAGTGTTGGAGAGAACCCCCACCCAGGCTACTCTTTCAGCTTGGTAGGTTGAATGTCCTTGTGGGACAAAAACCATAGAAAATTAGAGTTGGAAGGGACCTCAGGTCATTTAGTCCAACCCCCTACTCAAGGCAGGACCATCCCCAACTATAACATCGCAGTCAAGGCTTTTTCTGGCTGGGTCTTAAAAACCTCCAAGGATGGAGATGTCACAACTAGGGCTGTGTGAAATGGCACCATTCCGTTTCACCTTGGTTTGGACAGTTTGACGGAACAGCATTCCATTTTGAATTTAATTTAGATTCAAAACAGCTGTTCCGTTCCATTGAAACAGAAAGGCTGTTTCAATGTTTTGCTGGGGATGGGAAGTCAGCCCTGCTGGGCTGATTCCCCATCCCCCATGCCAGATCAGGGGGCTGCCTCCCCACCCCGGGCACAATCTAACACGGGGAATGGAAAGTCAGTCTAGCTGGACTGACTTCCCATCCCCAATGCTATAGTTGAAACATTTCGACCAGCCTCGTTTTGTTTCAAGGCTATTTCAATGGCCTTTGTTTCATTTCGATTTTGCCATGTCGACCTCAAAATGAGTCAAAAGAAAACAGCTGTCGAAATTTCACGCAGCTCTAGTCACAACCTCCCTGGGTAACCTGTTCCAGTGCTTTACTACTCTCATCATGAGAAAGTAGTTTCTTATTTCTGAACTAAAGGTCCCTTGGTGCAGCTTGAGATAAAAGGACTCAGGCTAAACAGAATCTTAAAATCTTAAGTCTCACATTTCCTAGATAAGACTTTACCCCAGGAATGTCAAACATACAGCCCATGGAGCCATTTGATCAGGCCTACGGGTTGCTGGACCGACTCCATGTGCCAGCCCTGGCCTGGAACGCTCTGCAGGCAGCACAGGGGGTCAAGTCCAGGGCACTACAGGCAGGCCACACCCCATACCCCTTGTGCCACAGTGCTGAGTCCAGTGTTGGTCCTAGAGGCTTTGTGCACAGCAAGCCCCAGGGATGGCACATGCTGCACATGGCAGGCAGGGCTGGACTGCTGCAACTGCTACATACAACAAAGGGCCAGCACAGGGTGCACATCCCATGCGGTGCCCCACAGGACTCAGAGGTAGCATGCAGGGCTAGTCAGTGGGGTGCTGCATGGATCCAGCATGCACTGTCCTGGGACTTGCTGTGCATATGACCCCTGGGGCTAGCACAGGTACACACTGCCTGCAACATGCAGTCTGGACCCAATACTGCATGCAGCACAGGTTCTGGGGCACAGGATGCATACAGCACCTCAGACTGAGCTGTACCCCCTCCCCACCATGCTGCCTCAACACCAGGTCCAGCCCAGGTGCCAGAGCCACTCTACATGGTGGGTCCTGGTGCAGCCCACAAACTGACTCAGGGATGTTCATCTGGTCCATGGGGCTAGGTACATTTGACACCCCTGCTCTAACCAGTAGGCTATCACAAAAAGGTGGGTACCCCGATCACCATCTTCAAAATAGCAATCTTCCCTCTGAATAGGGTTCTGGATCTCATAGACAGAGGTGCCCAACATGAAGCTTTGACTTGGGTACTAAAACTCCAGAAAGGGACACAAATTCAAAACTCCCTCCTGCACAAATGCAGAATGCACTCTATCGAAAGTATCCCAGACAAATACCTATCCAGTCTCTTCTTGAAAACTGTTGATGAAGAAGATTCCACAGGTTCCCCAGGCAGCTTGTCACACTGCCCTACTATTCTTAGGAGTTAAGATTTTCTTTTCTCAAGATGTTAAATTAAATCTATTTTGCTGTAGCTTAAACTAATTTTTTCAAGCTTATCAAAGTTGGAAGATCCAAACTAGAAATAAAATCCAAACCGGCCCTTTGTCAAATCACATTAACAAACTGTGATAAAACGCCAGAAGACAGAGAGGATCATGGTTTACAATAAGCTAATAGTGTCTTCACAAAAGAACCATTCCAAGTTGATCCAAAATACTGTTGCAATCTTAATAAAGTTCACTAAATTTTCAAAGATTTTTTTCTCTTTATTTAAACACAAATACATTTACAGCATGCAGGTAAGTTAAAACTATGTGGTATCTTCCCAAAACCAACTAGGTTTTAATGCATCTTAATGTACTCGAGTTAGAGCACTGTATTCCACAGGTAGACTTGTCGTCTCATGTCAAATTTAGAGTTACACACAGTAGTGAGTCAGTATTTAAATTATGCAAATAATTTAGTTGATCACCAGGAATAAATATTTTATTTTACTGAATTCCTATCTAAGCCTTTTTAGAAAATATGATCCAGAGAAACAAAAATAAAAACTGCTCAAAGACTGCAATTTAAAATAGCAATGCATTTAACATTCCATTACAGACAGAATATTTTAAATTTACAAAACAGTAATTGTCCTGTCCAGATAACCTACCAGAACTGAACCAGAAAGAACCAAATTGCAGCTTGAAAATTTTAAGATTCAGTTCTTGATAAACTTTGTAAAGATTTAAAATAAAAAAAGCTTGGATATAAAAAAGGTGATATACATTTTGAGCTACATGCTAGTTACAGTTTAACTGTTTAGTACACAGCGATGTTCAGCACCAATACCCATGATACATTACTTACAGGAATGAAACTGCCATATACAGGCATGAAAAAATATCCTGCTTCATTTGAGTATTTCCAAGGAAACCAGTTTTTAGTCACTGCAAATTAATACAGGTGAAGTTCTGAAAATCTGCAGTTAATATTGTGAGAAATTCCAGACAAGGCTGTTTCCATTAAGAAAATTCCATTAAAAACCATCTATTCAACTGCTAGTTCACCATCCACTTCCCTTGGCACACTACCTCTCACGCTCCAGAAAGCTTACAATTTTGCAGTTTTTTTGCTGTAATTTAAGAATAAGAGGTCTTTTAATGTTGAAAACCTGAAAGAATTAGGTTTTCTGGCAGATATAAACAAAATCAGCCTTTGAAATGAAAATTAATGTAGCTAGTCAAGCTGCTGTGGATAAGAAGGAAATAGAAAAGTTAACTTAGAGTCCAAAACTTTTGACCATGCTCCATCATAATACAAACATTTCACTTTGTATAAAAGGTCTCAAAAATTATTTGCAAATCAATGTCTATGTAGGATTCAAGTTTCCACAAAAATCGACAAACATCCCAAAAAGCAGTGAGACAACCAATTTAGGACATGGCATTAACTCTTGTATTCTTGAATATTCACATTAGGTTTCTTCCAACACAATGATTTGGTAACTCATTTCTGTTCTAAGAACAACTTTTCTACAACTGTAGTGGAAAAACCCCTCAGAATATCTTATCACTTGTGTAATTTAATTTCAAAAGCTTTGATCTTGACTTCAGCAGCAGATATGGGTGCTCAGTACTTGAGAAACAGGTCAGAACAAAAAAACATTGTTTATTTTGTAGCCAATTTACAGGACTTTATTGCAAAAAAAAGAAAATATTTGATACAACTACTGCTTGGGAGTAGGTATTTACGTATTCCTAGACTTACAAATGCATTACAATACAATTCAGTGTAGCACAGGTTCCTCCCATTCTATCCTTGGTCCTGACACAGCTCTGGGATTTCTGGCCATATGAGCTATAGTTTCCTTGCCTCCATTATTAGTGTATTTAATTAATTATCCAACTGCTCATTAACTCATTTTCTCAAACTGAAAGCTTACATTTCAGGTCAAGATTTCCAATATGCAGACAATAGTGGAAAAAGTTAAATTCTAGACTCATTTCACTATGTTAATATAGTGAAAATTAGCTATCAGAATTAGACAACTAGATAATGAGCTCAATCAGAATGAAGCAGAATGTTTTCACTCCAAATTATGCTGTGTATAGAATCAGGAACAGGACAGATTAAATTTTCCACTTACAGACTTTTTCTATGTAAACTTAGGTTTACTTTTGTTACTGTACAGTATTTAACTCAAAACAGCCTGATAAACAGGCAATTAATCAAACAGTTAAATAGCCTTGTTCAAACTGAACTCTTTAGTTCTATGGTTTCAAGACTTCAATGCCTTATGGCAGTTGTCATAAGCACACTTCAGTATTCCTACACTGTACAAATATTTCAGTCCTGATGCTCTATGCAGCATTTCAGGAAAACTTTAAGATAGAGTGCTGTTATAACTCAGAGTGGGACAAATAGTGTTATTACTTCATGTGGTAAAAATTAAAGTGTATTTCAACACTGTTCCACGTTGCCCTAAGACAGTAAAATGTACACAAATTAAGCTAGAAAATTTGAACTAAGATTTACTTAACATACATTCAGCTTGGCACAGTGCAGACTAAGTTTAAGACATGAAAGACAAACAGTGTAATGAATAGAGCTACACTTTAACATGTCATTTTTCAAGATGCCGAAATTACACTAATATTTTTGGGAATCAGTTAGTAGAATTTGTAGAAGGGAAGAGAGCTGTACAGGCCAGGTATAATTTATACAGTAAAAAAAAAAAATCCTACAATCCACAATGGGAGAGATTATTGTCATGGAATGACCCTCTCCGTATGATATCCCATCCTCTTCATACTGCAGATTTCTCAGCAACTGCAAAGAAAAAGTTAAGTTAAATGCATAAGCAGACATATATCCCTCAGTGACTTTCAAATGTTTAAAATTGCACACAGAAATAGTCAAATAGTAACATGCAAAATATTTCTAAATTTCATTCTTGATCTAGGTCAAGAAGGCTATGGGTAGTTTGAAGGAGAACAAGTGTATAAACCTTTTGGTAGAATCTGCAGACTTGGGAGCAATTTATGAAATTTCAACAATAAAATGAGTATTATTGGTCAAGAAAAAGAACACCAACCTCATTTGTTCATAGATCCACTTATCTGAGGTGCTATTATCTCAGTTATAGATGAAAAACAGCGCAAGTTAGGGACCAGTGCCTTAGTAGCAAGTTTTATGCAACCAGAGTCAATGGGATGTCATCTGCAAGTGTTATTGACTCTAAATGGAAATTATATTTTTAAACAAATTTAAAAGCTGTAAGTTGACTAGTTCACATGACATTCTCTCCTTAACCCATGACAGAGTTGCAGTAATTCACTGCAGTATTTTTTCTTTATTAAGCAATAAATAGAACTGATCATTTTAAAGCTTCAAAAAATGTGAACTGCTATATTCCTCAGGCAGACAAGCTGATATATTTAATAGAATTCAGCCAAGCTAGGCCTCCTTGCTCAAAATTCCCCCAGGCCAAATGATATGTGGTTACCAAGGGTAAAGGCTCTCTCCCTCCAGGTAAGATGCAAGCTCAAGGGGTATGGAGAACAAGTGTCAACATATACATTTCAGCAAAGGCAGGGATAATTTATAGTATTTATAGGAAAGAGACATATTTATAGGAAGGAAGGACACCCCACCCCAATCACCATGGTGTCTGGGAACTAGTCAACTGCCAGGATGCAGTAAATTGTCTGGGACTGATGCCCAAGTCCTGGAATAAAAATCACATAAGAATTGCCATTTACTGAGTCAGAGTCAGGAGGTCCATCTTGCCCAGTATCCCATGTCATATATAGTGGTAGAGTGGATGCTGAAGGGGACAATGAATTGGGTACGACTAGGGTTTTTTCCACTGTTCCTCTCACTTGCAACCTCCAGGATTTAAGGTATAGGAAGCTGAGATTCAGAGGCTGTATCCTTAACTCCCATGCTCGATAGCAACTGATGCCCCTTTCCTCCAAGAATCTATCGAATTCCTTTTTGAATCTGGCTAAACCAGGGGTGGGCAATTATTTTGGGCAGAAGGCCACTTACTGAGTTTCAGCAAGCCATCGAGGGCCACATGACAGGCAGCCAAGGGAAGATAAATGTTAAGTTTTCTAAATTTTTTAGGGGCCCCACAGGCCGGACAGAATGGCTTGGCAGGCCACATCCGGCCCCTGGGCTGCATTTTGCCCACCCCTGGGCTAAACCATCAGTTTCCACAACATCTGGAAGCAATGAGTTCTACACTAATTACATGCTGTGTGAAAAAAACCACAACTTCTTTTTGTTAGTTTTAAACTTATTATCTGCTAGCTTCTCATAATACAAGAACTAGGCATTTGCTATATACTGTCATTTAGTGACCCCTGTTTACTTTCTTCCACTTATGGAGAGAAAGGGGAAAGAATGTGATGGCAAAGAAAAAGACATCCATAACTGCACCAACTGAAGTCAGTAAAAAAAGGAAGCTTTGGAAGATTAGGTACTAGTTCTATTTTTCCTTAGTTATACGGTAACACCAGCTAATCTAGTTTTAAAAGTGAGAGAATTCCTGGGATAAAGTATCTGGGATTTAAGACCCCACAGGGCTCTTTAGGAGCTCACACTATTCTTCAGTTTAAGACACAGATGGTCTTAATGTGTAAAATGAAATTACACAAATGAGAAACATTCAAAATGCAGCTGAGCAGACAAATGCAATCTTCTTCATAAGGAAGGGAGCAACTGTCATGCAGTTAATGAAGCAAAAATGTGCTTTAAAAGTCAATAAAGATATTTAAGCATATTAACCACTGCATTGGATTTAAATGAATGTACACATATGCTTAAAGATGCATATGTGCAGTTTTCATAGGCCCCTGGCAGATGTTACACTTAAGACATGATTAACCAGTTAATCACATATGACGTAGTAACCCAGCCATGTGTTCATTCAGTTAAATGGCAAGATAGAACAGGTAATAGGTCACAAGACTTAATACACAGAAAAAAAAGATGTGTGATAGCTTTGTGGCCGATTCCCATTAAAGCCTTAAACTAAGAAGTGTGGCCACCACCAATCAGGTAACTAGTGCAATATGGCTCCCCCTGCACTGGCAATATTTCTGATCTCACAATCACATGCCCTGCCATTCATATATGGCATGGCAGGAGGCATAATTGTTGGGGTTGTGAATCAGATCTCATCACACCTTTAGCTGAATGTTTGTCAGAGACCATAAATACACATACTACTTCAATTACTGAAGCATTTAATAGCATTTTAACTAGAATGGCATTTTAAAATTATTAAATTATAGCTTTCATAAAAGCAAATCTTTTCATGCTAAAACTTCCAATTCCCAAGCTATAGTGCATAGCCTTAGCAAAGGTAGAAGAACAGCATATGAAAGAACCACCACTACATCAAATTGTATTTCTCCTTGGAGGAAGGCCTCACTGTCAAATTTAAAAAGTAGGCTACTGGGGAAAATAAGAGTAGTGAACAGTAATATTTTCATCTATTACATACTTATTACAGATTGCAGGTATTTTTTCTATTGTTTCTGTACTGTGTTCAATTAGGAGTGATTCTTAGCCCCAACCTATATTTCATCATATAAAACTTTACTTCACTTGTGTAAAAGGAAGCACCAGTATGAGCTGCCTACTTACACAGTGTATTCCTCCAAATTAAAATGAACAGGAAGTAGTTGTAGAACATTCGAGTGGCTTTATTCAGCTGAATGGATTTTAAACAAACTATAACACAAAGCTCCCAAAATGACACAGAAACAACCTATGGAAAGCAAGACTTACACTTTATCCTGCCGTGCTCCGCCTCCACGCAGTGGGACTGGCTGGCTGTTTTGAGTTATTGCACCTCCTCCACGAATTGCACTTGGATGAGTTGGAGAAGCTGCTGGATGCTGGCCAGGACGGATAGGCTTTGCTACAGAAAACAAGGCACAGCTTTAGGAAAATGCATGCCAAGCCATTTACCATTTGATCTTTTATTGCTCCAATTCATCAATCCTGTATGATGACACTCTACAGTGAATAATTGTTATGGTCTGGCAAGTTACCGGCTAAAATGAGAAATACATTATTTTAGAAGTTCAGAAAAGTGGTATTTGGGGGATTTTAATGATCAGGCTGTTAGGCTCAGATGCTTTATCTTTATGATGCACTGTATAAAAAGACAGTTTTTTGACTAATCTTATTAGTTCTGAAATTCAAAAGGCTCTTGTTAATGAGTTAAAAATATTATAAATCAAAAACGCTCAGACAGAAAAGCATCTTGTAAAATTAACAAATACAGAACTGTGAAAAATCAATCGCTAACTTTTCGACGCCGCGTATCCGTACACTCTTTGGCATTTTTAAGTCCATAACAGGTCAATTTGGTTTTTTTTCCCACAAAATAAGCTACTCTGGTTTCTGCTTCTGGCATACTTCAGAACTTCTTGAATTATACAATTATAAAAGTTCTTCCTTCTCTCAAGGCAAATACACCAGCTTGTCAGTGGCTATATGTACTTCATATCAGACTGCTACCTAGATTTGAGAAAGACTCTGCCTACTCAGATCTAACTTATAGGAAAACACGCTTCTCAAAATCAAGCCCATGACATGTACATATGACTCTCCTTGTAGCAAGGGAGGTGG